CCGTTCCGCGACCATGGCAGAGAGCCGAAATTCTCTTGGCCGGACGAGGAACCGATACGAGTAACCGTTTCGCTGCTCGCGTATCGTGATTTCCCGACACCTCCGCCACCAAGTCGATGGTGCACCACCTAACTCGCTCGCCCAGCTCGCGCTTTGCTTTGCTCGCTCGCTCGCTCGCTCGTTCGCTGACACTCGTATTCGCTCCGTGTCCGTAGTGATTCGATGCAGCCGAGTTTCTTGACTGAGCGGCCGATGCTCGCCGAGCCGTGCCCCGCGAGCAGCTAAGCCTGCCAACCTGCCATGCGTGCGCCGCGAATGTCACTAGAGACAGTGGGCGCTGGTCTCCGGTAGGCTGCGCCGCGTGGTCGGGCCTCTTGGTTCGACTTCCATCGATTCGAGATCCAAGGGATTTTTTGGAGGGAGCCTTTCCAGTAGCGTAGTCAGTTCTTGGAGTTTTCGGGTTTTAGGGGTGGAAGGGGTGAGTTTGAGGGCGGTCGTGGGGTGGAATTGTTTGTGGACAAATTGGGGCTGTTTGGGAGGGTTTGATTGAGTCAGAGTGGAATTAGGTTAATTGGGAGGATCGAGAAGTGGGGGTGAGTTTTTCATGGAGTTTTTAATATGGACTACTTGTTGGGTCAAATGACCCATTTTGGGTCTCTTTTGAAGTTGTAGGAAAGAATGGGAATTTTGGGAGGAGAGTATTCGATTTTTGAAGCTTTCGGTTTGTGGGGGTGTAAGGGTGAGTTTGAGGGTGATTGTGGTTGAAATTGTTTATGGATAAATTGAGACTTTTCGGAGGTTCATGGCGGTTTGAATTTGATTGATTGCAAGTGGGGATTAGATTAATTGGGAGGATTAATTGGAGGAACTACCAGTAGGGTCAAAATGACCCATTTGGAGTCTCCCTTGCAATTATAGATAAGACTTTCTCAGAAATTATTCAAGAGATTCATTTAGATAAATACGAACTAGAAACTAAGGAAATTGTACACTCAAATGTAATTTCATAACGTTTAAAAATGCAGAATTAATTTTACTGGTCGGTAGTAGTGTTAAATTTATCGTTGGGCCTGTGGAATTCATTTCCTGTGACTCCGAAATTGTTCAGAACGATATCCACAAGAGTATAGACGAAATTTCTTATAGTTCACTCAGTAATCCTCTAAGGAATGATTTCAACAATCCCCTGTCGAGAAAATAAACCACATATCCCCCTTAGAAGTCCAACGTTCACCAGCTGAAAATAACACTCCGCTTTAATGAATACATATCGGGGAGCATTCATATTTATTAAATTCAATTTAAAGTCTACCAAGAGACCGAGTCGATATTACATGCCGATACGCCAACTCGACTATCATTTTCTTCGCGAACTGCTCGAATAAGCTGAACGCGAGATGCAAGGATATTAATCATGTCTTCCTCTGTTACTGTAGTTTCTTTATAAAAACGAACGGCGCACCACGGGTTACAGTAACGTTTCCCTTCGGGCAACCGGTGCCCGATGAAAATTTACTTTCAATTTGTACGTCCAATCGCGGAACAAATTTCCGCTCTCGTAAATCCTCCGCGCGGCCCCGCGCCGAACGGGATGATTATCCACGGACGTAGAAACAAATTAGAGAAACGCGTCTTCTTTAAGTGAGAAATTGCCGGCGACCTAGTAGCGGCGCGCGGAAGAGGGTCACTCTCACATCTTAACGCTTTCGTTCGCGGAACAAGAAATTGCAGCGATCCACGATGACTTCTTAATCGATTTAACGAGCTGCTCGCTCTAAATTAACGGGGACGTGTCCGTCTGTATCCTGACGTGCGTTCGAAGAAACCTCTTCGTCGGATAGAACAAAGAAACTCCGTTTGTTTAACTCGGCAAAGAAAACTCGAGGCAATCCTGAATCAAAAAGCATCGACGTTAAACAATACAATTGAAATAATCAAACCGTATACATAGAATACTCAGTAATATCAAGACATTCGAATTTAATTAAAATAATCTTTAAACACTGCCAACATAAACGCAAATCAAATTCACACAAATACCAAGAAAACTTCAATTACTCAAACCTAATCCAATTAGAATCTCAAAACACTGGCAATTAACCGTCCGACCTACAAACCCCGTAAATCACTAAATAAACATCTCAATCTCCATAAATCACCAAACCATCTTCCAACATCTTTAACTCCCAAAGAAGCCCCTCCCATTTTACCCCTCAAAAATTTCAAAACTCCCAACCGTCCGAATCGCGGAGAAAATCCCATAAAAAGATCTCCACGAACAAACAGGAAAAACGAGAAAAACTGTCGCGCGAGGCGAGAGAACAGAGAACCTCGTGCGCTAGGGATGTTTCCCGCCCTAACATTGGCGTCGCAGCGTGCGCGGATTGGCCTGCGGCCGAAGTGGTGGCGCGCGATTGGCGGGCGCGCGGCTCGCCCAATGGCGGCCGGCCGCGC